AAAAAAAAAAAAAAAAAAAAAAAAAAAGAGAGAGAGAGAGAGAAAGAAAGTTTTTTAAATTCTCATATCTATAGTACTTCGGGGCATTGTACTCTTACTTACATTTTTAGCCAGTGAAAGCTGAATACTTGCAGCATTAGCAATGACACACCTTTGCAGGTATCTCCATGGCCCGCTCTAGGTTGATAATAGCTGAGTTTGTTGCCAGCAGCAACCACTGATTGCTTCCCCACAACTACAGTTAGGTATGACTCCACATAGCCTTTTTTCTAGCTGGATCCTTTGTTCATTCACATTTCCTTTGCTACACTGGAAACAGAGAAGGCAGAAAAAAGATCATCTCTTTTTACATCTACCCGAGCTCCTCTGACTCGCACTGTCCAGCCGAACCTAGTCACCTGAGTTAGTAAATCTCTAACCAGGCCAGGTCCTACTCACTGTGCAGCCTCTGCCTCTGATTTCCCCACCTTTCTAATGAACAGCTAATTAGCTTTAAAAAGATCTTAAGTGGAATAGACCTCCCCATGGTTTTTTTTTTTTCTTTTTTCTTTTTTTTTTTTTTCCCAGAACCTGGGATTGAACTCAGGCCCTCTGCACTTGCCAGGCAAGTGCCTATTCTACTGAGCCATCTCCCTGGCCCTGTAGTTCTTAAACAGCTATGAAAAGATTATAAAGAGAATTGAAGATCCTAGATCAGAAATCAGCAAGCTTTTCCTATTACAACCAAATAATAAAATATTTTAGGATTTAGGCTATGTATGCTGTCTGTTAAGACTGAAGTCTCCCATTTGAAAGCAGCTGTAGACAGCATGTGAACTTATAGATGTGTTTGTTTTAATAAAACTTTATTTGTGGGCACTGAGGTTTGAATTTGACATCATTTTCCTGTTACAAAATAGTCTTCTTTTAAATTTTAATATAAAACCATTCTTAGCTCACAGACAGCAGGCCAGATTTGATTCATAGGCCATAAATCGTGAGTTCCTGTTATAGATCATTAAACGTCCAAGAATACAAAAGTAGTAAATTATATGATAGAAAATAGTAGTAGGTCAAAGAAGAAAGACATCAGCTAGGACCAAAAGAGTCAAAAGCTTGCTGAGAAAAACAAGATTTAGGTTGAGCTTTAAAAGAAGTGTAGAAAACTAATTAATTTTAAAAAAAAAAAAAGAATAGAATATAGACAGAGGAAAGAAAAAAGATGTCTTGCTCTGGCTCTGGGTGATAACAAGAGAAACATAATGAAAGAAGACTTAGGATTATGATTAAGAAGGTTCAGGAGATATGAAAGGGGAATTTAAACTTAGTGAGGCATGGTAGTGCAAGCCTGTAACTCTAGTTATTTAGGAGGCTCAGATAGTAGTATTATAATCTTAAAACTAGTTTGGGGGCTTGTGAGATAGCTCAGTGATCTAAAGCACCTGCTTAGGCAAGCTTAGGCAAATGCACAGGGACTTGGTTTTGATCCCCCACACCACATGCTATACCAGCCCCACACCCAGGGCGGGCTGAGACAGCCACACACACACACACAAACACACACACTAATAATAATAATAATAATTAATTAATAAAATAAAACTAGTTTGGGCAATTTAGCAACACCCTGTCTCAAAAAAGGATGTTTAAAAAAAAAAATAGGAGCCTGGCGCTGTAGTTCAATAGTAGAGTACTTGCTAGTGTTACTGGGCTCTAGGGTGCTGGGGATTCCTTCTAAAGATGCTTTCTAGTTTCTTGTCTTAAGCAAAGAATTAGACAAGGCAATTTCTTAAAGGTAGGAAAAGAAACATGCTAGGTAGAATGAGTACAGGTCAATTAAAAGTAAGAAAAGAAAGCTGGACATACTGGTACATGCCTGTAATCTCAGCACTCAGGAGGCTGACGCAGGAGGATCATTGTAAGCTCAAGACCAACTTGTGCTACAAAGTGAGCTCAAGACCAGCATGATGGGGCAGGGGCCATAGCTCAGTAGAATAAGCGCTTCCCTGGCAAGCTCAAGGGCCTTAGTTCAATCCCTGGTTCCACCAAAAAAAAAAAAAAAGATCAGCATGAGCTACCTTGTCTCAAAAAGACACACACAGAGGGCTGGTGAGATGGCTCAGTGGTCTAAAGCACCTACTTAGTACAAGCTTTAGCAAAACCCAGGGACCACGGTTTGATCCCCCAGCACCACATGCCAGCCAGCCCGCCCCCTGGTGGGCTGAGCTGGCCACACACACACACACACACACACACACACACACATAAATAAATAAATAAAATTAAAAAAAAAATAACTCGGTACAAACACAGATGGGCGGCTTAGCTGGTGCCTATCCTTGCATCAGGCGTCCAGCTGTGCATTCAGCTCTTCTGCAGAAAGCTG